TAATTTCCCTTCGATCAACTTTGGAATCTTCATGTCCAAGGGGTGAGCGCTGGTGTCTTGTCGGGCGCGTCTTATCTAACACAAACTGCGCTATTGGCTTGATTTGCTTTACTCTAGTTTTTTTCATGCCTCACTTCGTCCATGTTATCTACTCACCTTAGCGTTAATGTAGGCGCATTTATTGGTCCGATTGTAGGGACAAACGGGTGCGTAGCATGGCTTTCTTTAAAGGTAAAAAAACATTTTTGGGGGAAACCATGTCTTGTTTTGCTGCTTAATCGCTCGATTTTCCTGTGAATCATGCATCTATCGTCAAATTCTCAATCATTTTCATTTCATTCATTTTGTAAGCCGAGAACTGGAACATTCACTCTGTTAATTGGGCATGGATAACAATTCATCACCACCACCATCACCACCACCACCCCTGCCGCCTCAGGCTGACTTAGTGCGAACTGCACGCCCAACTTACGCTGTGTGCGTACACGACAAAAGATCTTACCGTGGCGATCGTTTTTTTGTGCAAACTTGATCCCCCTAATCACTACTAAATTACTGCATAAGCGTAGCTTTTGGAGACCGTGTGCCTGGGGCACTGGTGCAACTCTTACGCAGAATGTGCGCCACCCTCATTGCTACTTGTCGTTACATTTTGGAGGGGTTGTGTGTGCATGTTTAATGATGAAAGCGCTGTGTTGACAAGCATACTTTGTGTCGGGAACCGCGTTTCAATGCATCGGTTGTTAGTGCCGTGGATCGTGGTATTTTGTCCAAAGACCGTGCGCTTCTTTGTGCATACTTTGGGTGACCTTAGCGGGTAATAATTGGCGTGGATGGAGGCAGTTGATATGAATGCAAATGTTGCGTACGTAGACGCAAAACCCACGGAAATCTGAGTTCCACTTGCACACAATGCCCACATCTACAACTTTACGATCGTGGCCAAACGCGCTGCTGAGGTAGTGTTTCCTGTTGTCACCATAACGGCCGCCAGGCAACGGCGCAGGTTCGTTCTACAAGAGTTAGCTACACCCATTCTCACGAAGACATCTGTAATTCCACACCGTCGGGTAGGATGGGAAAGAGTTCGCTTTATTCCCAACCTGATTCTGTTAGCGTTGTCGCCTAGTGTAAAACCATGTGTTGTGTGGTGGAGCACTTGTAGGGGGCCCCGGCATGTTGTCTTGGACCGTCGTCTTGAACCCACGAAAATAAAGAAGACCGGAGTGGAGAGGGCACAACCGTTTACTAGACAGCTTTAACCAAGTTGTGTCGTGTACAATTACGGTTCAGTGGTCACATGACTAAAACGGGTGGTGGTGGACGGACATGCAGAGTGGTTAATGAGCCAATGGCCTCACGTGACTGATGGGCAGGTCGTGAAAAGGGGGCACGTGTGCTGGAAGCTGCGATGACTGGGTTATTGGACACGAATCCCTGCACACTTAAGGCGCAATTGACCCTAGCGCTTGCATTCTAGCAACTATAAACAAGGTTGAACCATGCTTTGAAAGGCAGCCACTTCTCGTTTGACCTGATTTTCACAAGCACTTTGCTGTGGTTGGTAAATATACAACTGTGTTTGAGGATCTGATATTACAGTGCCTCTATCGCTGTTGACCAGATTGAGGTTGGCCTACCTCTGCGTCGCCAAATGTCGTCTGGAAGCGCAAGTTGCTACTTCTGTGTAGTCAGCGCGGCTCGACAGATGGTCGTTTTAGCTTGCTCGTGTCCTTTTTCCGCCTTCCCGGCGATTTGAATGCCTTTCATGGAGGAAGCAGCTCACAATCAGGAGGTATGTAGTGCCTTCTTTTGTTCTACTATGTAGGTACAGAAATCGGACAAAGTCAACGAGCCACAAGGTCCTCTGCATCTTGCACTACTTCAGTCGCGTTCTGTCGGATGAGCCGCCTTGCGGCACTGTGACGTTCAGCCGACGCTGCCTCGACGAGCCGCCTGATTTCGCCGCGAGCGCCGCAACATTCAACTCCATCGCCTTCGGCACCAGCACCACCTGTCTCATTGAGGACGCACATCCTGACACAATCCAGGTTCGAGTTTGGCTGATGAAATGAATGCGCAGTTAATTAACCTCCCACGAAATCCCGAGATCATTATCACTCACATGCTCATCTTCGGTGATATCTCGAATTTTTTAATGAGCTATTTTACTTCAAGGTCAATTTTGCTAATCGTTTTCTCGGCGGAGGTGTGCTTCGTGGTGGGTGCGTTCAGGAGGAGATTCTTTGCTGTATTCGACCCGAGATCATTGTTGGACGACTTTTTGTTGAGGCCCTGGAACCCCACGAGGCTCTCATCATTGAAGGTGCGGAGCGGTTTTCGCGCTATACCGGCTACGCCAGCACATTTCAGTGGACTGGCAACTTTGACGAGGCCAAGGACGCTGGAAACACCCGGTAAGCCTGTCGGATTGCTAAAAGGCGAATTCGTGCTTTCTTAATGGTCGGTTTTACTTTCTTGCCCCCCCCCCCC